AGACGGAGTTCTCAATAGATATTGCTCAGTTGCTGATTAAAGCTGAGGGCAGTAATGGGTAATTAGGCAAATGAATAGCATTCATTCAGAATGTGTGAACTTTAATTCGTAAGGGTGATCTACGTGCAGTATATAATGTGTAAGAAGATGTATGTGTAGTTTTAATATTCCTTGCATACTTACTTTTTTTTTCATTGTTCTTTAATGTCTTCAAACCTGCTTTGTCTTTTTAACCCCATATAGAGGTATGACATGCCATCGCTCTGGTACTTTATGGCGTCATAAAATTCTCGTCTGTTTTTGCCCCCCCGGAGAATACGTACACATTCAACCCTTGGTGTTAATATGTAAAGCAGATATACAGGTGTAAAAGAGAGAAAATGTAAACATCCAATCGATCACATTTTATCTACTAGTTGAAGCTATTATTTATGATTGAATTTGCACATTTGTAAGCACACAAACGCACAGCAACACTTGGGTCTAATGCATCCTTTTGCCACTTCTTTATTATTTAATTTATTCAATATAAAGTCATTACTCAATTGCTAGAATTTAATGTTTTTTTTAATGTGTTTTCAATCAATTACAGTAACAAGGTCTGTGTTGTCCAAAAGGCTGTAGCAGATCTCTCGGCTTGTTCTCTGTGTTGCCATCACAGAATCACTACAGAAGACCCGACTGAAAGAATATACCTTGCCCCTCCCCAACCCTTGTGTCTTTGGAGAGTGGTCCGAGCAGAGAGAAGGAGTAGCTAGTGGCCAGTGCTAATGGCTAACCTTGAGTCCCTTTCGTTCAACCGTAGAGTGAAGCATGACAGTTCTGAATTACAGGCAGCTATTCCCACTGCTCTGCCTCAGTGTGATGAATGGCTCCAATCTCGTTCTGGTGAGGAAGTTAGCATTACATTCATGAGATACGGTGAATGGATCTGAGACTGGAGAGCTTTCCCGTTGACTGTTGAACGTACTGGACTTTGTCCAGAACACGCGTGTGATCAATGCACAATATTTGCCGCTCATCCATCTTTTTTAAGTGTTTGGCTGAAGAGATCAAATATGTGATTGCTTAGTTTGTTATGTAAAATCTCTCCAGCCCAGAGAGCGCTGACGTAACCGTATTTCCAGATTAATTTGTAGCCTATGTGGGAAAACTGCATTTATTCAGTCTTATCAGATTGTGATCTTAATACGATAACAACATCTTGCAATTAGTAAAAGGCTAATTAGGAGAAATAAATCTTATAATTAGAAGACAATTGCCCCTTGATTACTGTTTGTTGAGTCATTACTGGTGGTGGATTGTAAATCATGCTAGTGATCATCAAATATCCCCCCCCCCGACTATACCTATTCTATAATTGCTTTGGCAATATAAATATTGAGGGAACAACCTTGAGGTGAAAATGAGTCTATGAATTAAAGGCTGACATGAGTGTGAGGGTCTTCCAAATATCAAAACGCATGACCCTCAGCTCGTCTACCTGTTCTCTCTTTAGTTTGTTCCCTTTCTGCATTGAAATCTTATGCTTGATGTTTTTTGGCAAAAGCCTTGATAAGTGTGGAGCAGCTGCTGCTCTGAAGGCATTCAAGGCTTTGGAGGTTTCACGTTTAGCAGTGGTGTGCTTTCATGTTTGTATTTGGTGATGAGATGACCCAAAACAGTGGAGAAAGCATGAGAAAGCATGCAACACGTTTCAGGCACCCAGTAACCGATTTTATCAAGTCCAGAGCTTTTCCTACAATATATCTGGCAAACAAGCTTTGTCACAGTATTCATAATGGTATAAAGTTTTTTTTTTCCTCACTTAATTCCTGGACCTGTAAAGTGTTGACTGGAACTGGAACTGGAACTAGTGTTTATTAGAACCGACATTCAGGCAAGCATCCTTATTTTTCTTTTCCTGGCCTCAGTAAAATATTCATGCTTTTCTTTCACATTGGTAAACTCGGGCTCTGTGTTTGTCGTCTAACTTCTCACTTGATTTCCCTCTTAATTCTCCTGTCCTGCTTTACATAGCCATTATAGAAACCCACCAAATGATGCCTTTAATCGCTTTCCTGACCCATGGTTTATTACAAAGGAAAATCTTGTTTACTGCTGATCTCGGGGACCTTGCAGAACAAGATGTATGGACTTTCAAGATCCGTTCGTTGGGTTCTTTTGTTACAAGGGCATTTTGAACCCGGTCTAGCCTACAGATCTTTCATGTCTTTTGGCACAGTCTAGTGTGAGTGGTGGTCCAACTGCAGATCCTTTATTTCAGTGGTGTCGATGACATGTGACACGGGCTGATAAAACTATTAACCACTGACCATGTATCACACAGTAAAATGCTGGGGGACACGGTGACATAGACTGTAGATATTGACAGTCTGCTGATATAAAGCCAGCAGCAGATTAAGTGTGGCAAAAGCCGCCTCTAGGTATGAGTCTCTCTCTACAGGATGTCAGTCAGCCAGTATTCCATTAATACCAAGACATACGCCTTCTTGTAACTGGAATATCTGAAGTAAGTTGCACAGCAGCCTGATTCTCGTGATGCTGCGAGATCACGTGCGAATCGTGCAATCGAATATCATAAGAAAATCCCTCTTCTCAGGCTTCAAGTAATGCGTTTTTTGTCCGGTACGCCAGAGCACGGACCAATCAGCAACCTGTGTGGGGCCACTGGCAGCTACGAGTCAGGTTGATATCTGAGGGCAGTATTACACTAAGAGCAAGAGAAACGCTTATTCTAGAGCTCTTTAACACTGACACACAATACTTCTTTTTTTCTAGCACAGAAAATAATAAAAAGCGACTTACTTGATAAACAGTGCATTTAGCAATGGCCTACTTTATTTTTGTAAATGCATCCAACACCTACTAGACAACATTTTGTGTCATCATGCCTCACACACCTCCAATCAATCCCACACAGGCACACACAGAACACGAGGAGCCGCAGATGAGTCAGAGCGGCCGTCAGTGAAAGTGGTGAACAGTGCAAACTGTGAAATATAACAGTCTGTCACAGTCTTCATTTCAAACCAACAGAAACGTTCCATCAACACATAAAAATGACACATTTTTGTGGCTGATGTTTGAGAGTGTAAATCGACTGTTCAAAAACCCATAAACTATTCAAATATGATCATTTTTACAATGAATATAAACTGTTTAAGCCTGTAAACAAGTGAATAATACTTTAGTGCTGTTTCCCATCATTTGATGTCTGATTCAGTTTGATAGAATACATACGTATATCATGACACAGAATCTTAGGTGCTACTGCAAGGGAAGATATTTCATTTTAAAGCTTCTGGAAGTGGCATACTGATTCTCTGTACATAGTTGTCTTTCCTTTTTCTTTTAAGACACTACTGCACCATCAACACTTGAACACATCTTCTAGATGTAATTGTTTCATACTCGGGCCTCTAGTTCGATGGTGGTAAACTGGCACAAATGGCAATAACAACACTGCGGAGCATTTCTTATGTAGCCTTGTTGTGAATATTCAGCTGACGGTCTGAGGTTGTCTAGTAGTGCGTTACCGCATGTGATGGCTCGCTTCTCTTTATTTAGAGATCCTCTGACAGTAAAGCAATGCCTATAATATTACACTGACACAAAATTAAAAAAATATAACTAAACCACTAAATGAGTTGGATGAAGCGTTGAGCAAAACTTGTTGCTCTTGTCAGTGTCGATAAAGTATCCTTGATCATATCGTTATAGGTTGAGTGTGCTGTATATAACTGGCTTAGTTAAATATATATATATATATATTTGAATCATAAAAGCACTGTTAAAAATGATATAAATAATAATAAATAAATATAAAAAATCATGTCATGATGAACATAATCCTAATGAAAAAGAAAGATCATGGCTTACTAAAGGAACAATTCAAAACGACACATCAATAGAGTATTCAAAACATTCAACTTTGTCATTCTGTAAGTCACTAAAGCATATGCTAATTGCTTATAAGGATAATAAATAAATCTTATCATTATATGAAATGATAAACAGCATTTTGCCTGCCTCTAACACATAAGCTGAGCCAGCAGGAGAGTGCGTCAAGTGTAACCTCTTTGTTTTGGTTGCGTAACGATCTTTTGATGTCTGAGATGGATATTTCAAGCCAACTCGGGAACAGTAGGCTATTAAGTCTACAAGAAATGAATGGATAGAAAAATTCCTTTTCTGATGGAGTCCAGCTTTGTTATAGAACGCATCTGCTGTTGTTTCATTTCTCAAGTGTAACGCTCACGTTAAAGTAGCCAATCTAAAGATGTTGGAGCCAGTGTTCCCTTTCAGATGTCTGTCCAGGGTTCGTTTTCTCAGGTAGGTCATTTGTTTTGTGTGGAAGTTGTTGGTAAAACTGAATGATGAAATGTAACTAAAACTCTAACAAAATGTCCAACTGTGATATCAGTAACTTACTGCTTGCTCACAGACGATGCGTCATTTTCGATAATAATATATTGTGCACGTACATTTTGGGTATCTTTAGTGGCTACCAACCCACAAACTGTGAAATAAGACAACCCAGACTTTCTCACTTGTCAGTGTGGAGTCTCACCAGGAGCGCGTAACACATGTGGTTTCGTGTCTAGCATGAAAAAAAACAAACACAGACCTCAAGTGAGATGAGCTGTACGTATGAGTCCAAGCTGCCTGTTTGCATCTTTATGAGATCTTTATTTACAAAAAGACCTCAAACCAGGCTTGTGTTTCCTATCAGATAAAATATTTGCCATCTTTCATTCTTCTATCTTTGAATTCCTAAATATCTGGCTGCCCAATTCTCCTCCCTCATGTCTCCCATGATCTCACTATCTTTGCCTCATCGGTTGCCGCCTCATCCTGATTAAAATGCACACACTGACCTCTCTCTGCGCCTTTACTCTCTTCTACTCTCTCCCTAATTTATGCCTTCCTCCCCGCCCTGTCTCCACATCTCCCCTCCCACCGCCTCTCCTTCTTTCTCCATCTCTCTTTTCTTGCAGTGTCCTGAGGGGCTGAGGCCAATGAATGATGGCTCAGGTTGCTATGACTACTCAAGGGGCATCGACTGCACGGATGGCTTCAATGGAGGCTGTGAACAGCTGTGTCTCCAGCAGCTTGTGCCCCTTGAAGATGACCCCAGTTCCAGCAACGTACTCATGTTTTGTGGGTGAGAATAACCAACAGTAAATAAATTGAAAGGTGTCTGCAGGGTGGATATAAAGCTTCCTTGTGAAAAAGGCCTTGTGAGTAATATTTCCGTGATATTAAGAAACTGTTCCTCCGGCAAATACCCACATGAAGGAAATGAGATATGCAAATAGAAAAATAACCCGTGTGTAATCACCAAATGATTATACGTCACCACATGTGATGAAAGACATTAGCCCAAGATTACATATAAGGAAGTATTGTTTTAATATAATTACGTTTTCTATTAATGTTTTACAATATCAATTAGTCCGCGAGTCACAATTTTGCGGTATTCCCTGGCTGGCCAACTCTGAGGGCAAGCTTTTATAAATCCTTTCATACATACATGGACAGTTTAAATTAGCTTGAATGGTCCAACGCAGATATTCAAAAGTTGTAAATCATGTTAGTGATCATCAAATACCCCCCCCCCCCCCCCTGACTATGCTGATGACTGAGTCAGCATATACCTATTCTATAATTGCTTTCTATAAGTGATTAAACCTGAATCTTGAACCACGCCGACTTTACTTCCCGCACATTATTGAGTGATGCATTCACTGTAAAAACGCCCTCTTCCTAACCCCACACATGTTCCACTGAGCTGACTCAGCTTTTTGTGCACCTTCCCTAGAACTAGATTGTGTCACATGGAATAGTAATCTCCAGGGAGTTATACTGTGGCCATGAAGCTTGGCATTCCAACAGTTCGCAGCTTTTTACCAATGTGTGGGAAGAAGTCATGTTCCACGCCATTATACCAACAAACATTTTCATCCTGTATACACCATGCAGGATGGATCACTGGGTTCAGGCTGTTTGTGTCTTGTCCTTCAGTGGAATTTCACAGCAGAAAGCTTCTTAGCAAGACTGCAACAGGTTTTCTATTTTCTCTCTCTCATCGCATCTGGCATATTTGTCGAGATTTCTACTAATAAGACTTTAGAAGTAGAACAATCCAGTGGTATAGGTCAAGCTTGAATGATTGAAAAAATGTTCTGTGAAATAAATAGATGGCATGGTCAGTCTTCTTCCGTGGTGGAGCAAACCTTTGGTCTTAAGGGAATAGGCTTTGCCTTCATGCAACGGGAAGACGCTGTTGCATTTTCCTGACGGTATTGACAAAAACAGCATAGTCCTCTTTCCCACTGAGGCGCTGAGACCTGATCAGCTGCAGCAGCCCAAACTTCAGCAACAGTCAACAGCAGCAGATACTCCACCTTGTCTGTAAGGGAGGATTGGGCAGATAAAAGGCAGATTGTTTTAAAAAAATGAAGTACCGACCTTGCTTTTGCACAGCCTGGAGATATATTGTATATAACCGCTAGCGTTTAGATTTAGCTGGCTGGGTGCCTTCCATGGATCGGTGGTAAGTGATGTACAGATGGCAGGACTGCCTAAGAAGAGGGCTAAGATATTGGCTCGGTAGTTTTTTGTTCCTGAATTGGTAGTTTGTAAATTAAAGTAGTAAAATGGAAACGTCTATGTAGCGGTTCCTACAGTGTCAGTCACCCACATCTCTTGGGGTTTTTATTTTGCTGTTTCATCAACCTGCAACATTTGTGCCACAATTCACCTTCTAGTGTTCTTGCCATTTGAATCCTTTCACCTAAAGTGTATAGAGTGTCACATATATTACATATTGTACATTGCATTGACAGCTTTTCCCTCCTTCTCAGGTGTGTGCAGGAGTACAAACTGGCAGGGGATGGGCGATCTTGCCTCTTGCTGTCAGACAACTGTGAGGGACCAAAATGCCCAAGACAGGATGTCCACTTCAATGACACTCTGTTTGGTGAGATGCTACATGGATACAACAACAAAACCCAGCAAGTCAACTTGGGACAGATATTCCAGATGACCTTCCGGTAACTAGCGTACAAGTACACACATTCACACTTGCACAGATGCACAATGATCTACATTTTACTAATGTTACTGTCTAAACAACATATTGCTCTTTCCTTTCCTTTAATCTGATTTAGATGTTTGTTTTATCTTATGAACGCATTTTCTTTCTATTCTTTTGTCTCAACTTTGAAAAGCATTATTTTCTTATTTCTGCTGGTGTAGATTACACGGACAATCTTCCTTTGAGACCTGTTGTTTCACATCTTAACTGTTAACGTCTCTCTGCGTCTCCAGAGAAGCACCATCGGGAGTAACGGTCGTCTTTTATCAGTTTTGGTTTGTAGGAGAGATAGAAAGGCTTGTGAGCTCAGCGGAGAATCAGTAGTCAGGGTTGGCTGTCGGGATGCCGCATCTGTGTTTGCACAGGTGTGTGTGAGTGTGTGTGAGAGGGAGAGTGAGAAGGGGATGAGAAAGTGATGGTTGAGTGAGGATTGAGACTTATCCCATTGCAGTTCTCCCTAAACTGTCAGCCCCCTGAAAACCTGGCTCACTCTGATAAGTCACATGTGGTGAAATGCTCCTGTAATCACAGAGAGATGATGAGGGTTTATCTATGCACAAACAGTGCACACACAAAAAACACACTCAGCCTATATCTTGCTTTCTCTGTGTATGTCTTTTATTTGCTCACACACATGCAGACTATCTACACAGTTTTTCAAGTAACCATGAAATGCTTTTCATCTGTTCTGCTCTGCGGGTCACAATGGTTGTGCTTGGCTAAACATAAGTCCTTGGGGTCCTTTTGTAACATATATTGTTGTAATTCCAGATATCTACAGCATACGTGGCACACTGAATGCAACTTGCATGGCAACAGAGAACAAGTTAACGTTTTCATAAATTTGTGTTTAAGATGATAAAAAAAAAAATATATATATAAGATACAGATGGATTTCATTTGAATTTGTGTATTCAAAGGAGCTATTAAAAAAAGGATTGTGAGTGATTAAGATCACTCTTTGGATCTGTTGGAAAGCTGCTTTTGTGAAGTCTTCTCTCAGAAATGTACTATAAAAAGGCAACTCTGCCTTCATAGTATTTAATTCTTAATACTAGTCTGCATCTGCCCTTGAAGATGCCTGTGGAAACTACGTAGGAAGTAAGCGCCTGGCTGCTGCTTGTATGGAGTTGTTTTTTAAAAGATGGCCAATAAACACAAATCATTCTCACAGAATAAAATAGTATTTGCATGAGACGGGAACACTGGCACATATGTGTTTTTTCCATGCATTAGAGAGATTTCAACCATTTAGCAAAGCTTTACAGCGCCTCTCTGACTTGTCTTTGTATGGGTGTGTACTGAAGTACCGCATGTTGCAAGGTGGGACACTTTGGAGCTAGGGCTGACATAAAGAGCAATAGCATTTAAAGGAGGATTACTAACTTTGATCACCAAAAGAGCTATCACCTAAAGGGGGCGTAGAAGCCCATCTTAGAATTGACTGACACGTCTACAGCCTAATATGGGAAAGGACTAAGAGCATCATGTTCCCCAAAGGTTCAAGAGGCTAAACCAATTGGGGACTACCCTGTATTAATACACCAAACAGGCCACAGTTTGACAGACAAAACAAAAGCACAGTTTGAGTATTTTGAAGCCAAGGGAAGATGACAGTCTTGATCCATTTGCCCTAAAACAGTGGAAAGCCCAGTGGGTCTTCTGCCTCCCGAATCCAGTTCTACACACTGGGCTACATCAAGCTACAGCCAGTAAAGGGATTTGCACTCAAGCTCAAGGGCGCCAGTGGGGTAATATACACACGACATGTTTGAACTAATCAAACACCTTGGCAGCCCTGAGACACACTAGACAAGCAATGAAAGATCTGAGCATCTTTATATGGGTGGAAATGTACATAGACATTGCACACTGAAAAATGTAATTTCATTGTTTTTTGACGGACATGTTTTAGCTCTTGTGGTTTTAAAATGTTGCCCCTAAAAACATAAGAAACACATCAGGTCATAAAATGTAGCGGAGAAAGTCATCAGCGTTTAACTTTTCAATTTTTAGCATTCAAGGGATTGGCCCACTTTGTTCCAGCCTGGAACTGTATGGTGAGGTCTCAGTCCACACCCAGCATCTCTTCAATCCCATCCACATGTTGCCAAGTCCCTTCCCCCTCTGCTGCTGGATTCACAGTTCCAAACATGCACATGGAAACATTTAAACAGTGTCTCTTTGACAGGCTCTATTGTCATTGTGTATCACAACTCAAAAGATGCCATCCGGTGGTGAGATTGGTTATAGATCCCCAATCTACATCAAAATGCTGTGATCCTGACTTTGTCTGGCTTTATAAATTGGTCAGGCATTGTGGGTATTTATCTTCTGAAGAAGGTAAATCAGTGCTGCTACCTCTCATCTGTTTTTTTTGGTGCACTTACACTTCGTCTGCTGCATGATTTCTGTATAATACAGCTGACAAACTCGATTTTCTCTCCGCCACCTCAACTTCTATTTTATTACACCTGTGCAATTTGCACCTGTTCCATGAAACAGGAAACATTTCCATGCTAATTGCGAGACGCATACTTCATCGCACTTATCATGTTCCCTGCAGATGGGGGCACATTGCACTGATTACATGCAGATGACAGACAAAAGTGGACTTCCTGCTGGATGTGCCTCTTCAGATAAATAAATGTCTGTAGGTGCAGAGTGCATCTGAAACAGAAAAAAAGCATTTATGCTGTCTGACTTACTGTACACAGATCAGCAGAGGGTATAGGAAAGGAAAAGAGGGAGAAAGAAACGGTATTCTCTGAATCCATGATTAAACTGAATGTCAAATTGGGAAGGGAAAAAAAATAGCTTCACTAGAAGGTGTTTTGTATGCATCACCCTTCTGTTTCCATCTGTATATTATAGGCTTGATCACATTTATTTCACTTAACATTTTGAAAGTCACATTTTCCCTGAGCTATTCATCACTCTAAGTCTAACCAGACAAGCTAAGCACACCGGAGTGTTATACTTGACTCCCAGCGCCTCTAATTAAACATGTGTATTACTGCATGTCATCTCTCCTAAGTGCTCATTCTGCTTTTCAATTCCACCGTGTCTTTTGTCCAAAGAACAGTACCTTTGTCCTCTGAAGGACTTGCTCCCATAAGATTCCACATCACCCTCCTTATATTCATACATTTTATATATTTACAGCAATATGTTACAGTTTTTATTCTCATCATTTTCTCCACGTTCCTCCATGCCGTCTTTGATATGGAGATGCAACTCTTATCCCACAGCCCCGCATCTCTTTCATTCTCTCACCTCCACTGTCTACTGATTCCTTCTCTCTATCTCACACACACACACACACACACACACACGATTCCCCTGAGCCAGCAGCTCAAAGTGAAATATTAGATGAATTGTATGATTTGAGTCACAGCATCACTGTTTCAATATAAAATATTACCTGTGATGTATGACTGTATTGCATACATTTTGTTGTAAATTGATCTCACTTCGCTCAGCCTCTTGAAGCAGAACAGGAATTCATTTTGTAAATTGCTGTTATGAAATTACCGAATAATGCAATGTTGTGCAAGCATGCGTTTTATGTGATAAAGTTATAAGTGTTAATGTGAACGTTACGGCTGAGAAAAATTCCATTACACTGCGATTGCAATGTCGCTATGTAAAGATATGAAAACGGAGTCCACCCAACAGAGAGCGTATGTGTAGTTTCCCTCAACTGACAGTGGATGCAGGCTAATTACAAGCTATCGTTTTGGTCTTTTTGACAGCACTTTATATCCTTCAGATATTTAAAAACATACCAGCCTCTACATCCATTATCAAATCAGTTTGATGAAAAAACGTCATGTTTCTCCTTCAACCCCATCCTTTTTCTTTACAGTCAGTGATCAATTTAGTCCGCTGTGCTCTTGTATGTACAAGTAATAACATATTGCCAATCATGGAAGCATGGAAATACACGCACACACACACACACACTCACACCAAATGAATAGTTGGAGAGTGGATGTGGGTGTGTGAAGGGTAGTTGGGTTGTGATAATGGCCATCCATCAGTCCTGAAGAGTACATATTTAGTCCTGTCAAATGAATTACCACACACACACATACAGCACATATATGGCATGCACTATATGAGGAATTAAATTGAGACTCTGGAAAATGTCAGACAGGCAGCATTCAGTGACACACACAGTACATTGACACACCGATGCACTCAGTCACGCTTAACAATTCCACGACCTGAGTGGAGGAAAAAATACAAAAGGCTGGTTCCTCCCTGGCCAGGCCAATTTTACCTTTTAAAGTGCCCATAGTAGAGGTCTTTCGACCTGATCTCATACAAGGTCTTTGGAAAACCCATCTGAATCAGACATGCATAAATTATCTTTTTTTTTTTTTTTTTTTTTAAAGGGGACCTGATCCAAAGAGACACAACAATAATTAATCCTGAACACATACTAACAAGCACTCACAGCAGCGTGTTACACCACCACCTAACAAGCTGTCGCGGTTGGAAATAGTACCAATACATATCATCTTTCCGTGCACTTCTCTGCTCACACTCTCTGTCTCACCTTGAGAAACACATTCTTTTCCTGCAATTACCACACGATCACAGCTGATAGCAAGCCTGCTTGGATCCACTTCGATATCCGACACATTGGCAAAGGCACCTGAGACCAGCTGCAGTAGCACAGACCCTGCCCAGACTCGGTAATTGATAATAATTATCATTGTGTTCCTATCTAACACATATCATTTGCCGTCATTCTGTAATGACGGCAAATGACAATCACATTTGTGTTCTAAATTGAAAAGCAAAATTGAAATAAGTTGCTCAGGATAAGTATTTTATCACACGCATCTTTCTGAGTAATCAGTCCTTTTTTAATCAAAGTCACATGTTTATCTTTTGATAGACAGGCACTTGTACTGAGATTTTCAAACAGATGCACGGCAAGAATGC